TTCCACAATCTTCAGAGGCTTCAGCCATCCCTTCCCACCTTCTCCACGTGCTCAAGGAAAGCTTCGCACACAGCCAGGGCTCTTGGACGTGTCATGGACCGGAGTTCCTGCCGTCACACACTGCTTGTGTCAGCTTTATGTCGCTGCTGAACAAGTTACTCCAAAACTTCATGGTTGAAAGCACCATCCATTTATGAGCTCATAGCTTCAGTGAGATAGGAATCTGAGCATGGCTTAGCTGTGTCCTGTGCTTTAGGCCACGGTCCAGGTATCAGCCATGGCTAGTGTCTCATCTGAAGACTGGGCTGGGGAAGGGTCTGCCTCTACACTGAGTGGTATAAATGTCCGTAGAATCTGAGAACTTCATATAAGCTCTTTCTCAGCCTGAAATGCCTTCTCTCCACTCCTTCTCTCTGCCCAGTAAACTCCTGCACATCCTTCAGACTTTAACTCAAGTGTCCCCACCTCCAGAAAGCTGTCCTTGACCACACTCCGATCCATCCAGCACCCCATCACACACACTCCTTGGGGTTCTCCCAGACAGCACCATTCTATAGTTGGTCACCCAGGGATGCCATACTGGGAGGGGGTGCAAAAAGAGCCTGCTTAACTTCATATTATAAATTAAATGAAGGTTGGCAGAGCAGACCATCAGTCTTACATCCAACAGTTCGCAGGCATTTTGTTTCCACGCATCCATTCTAATCCCCTCGGTGCCATCACTGGTCTCCCTCCCTCCCTCCCTTCCTGTGTTTCCCTCTTCCGTCCCTCCTCTTTCCTACCCTCTGTACTTCCTCTTTGGGTCAGCGCTGCTCTTTTGATCCCAAACGGTTGATTCTTCCAACAAGGGAGAGTTCAGTTCTAGATCGGAGGGCTGGTGAGGGCCGTAGTCTTAGGGAATTCCACCAGTCTCTACCAGACCAGAAAACCCGGTCTCCTTTTGTGATTTGGGGTTTTGTTCCACTTTTCTCCTACTCTATCCCAAACCTAATTTGCTCCTTTTCATTCCAAAGCTGTAGAACTTTCTCCCACGGAGCGCCTTGTGGGTGAAAACTGCTGCCCTTGTGGTTTGTGACCACAATTCACTGTGATACCAGGGCTCCTAATAGATGATTGGCATAGAATAATAATTATTATAATTGTAAAAGTTAGTGTTGAGAGAGCACTTTCTAATTGTTCTCCAGGCATGGTTCTAAGTGACCTTTTCTCTTTTTTTGCTTTGTTTTTATTTGATGTTATAGTATCGTTTCCCTTCCATCTTTAATTCTGAATCAATTCAAACGCACACAAAAGTTGAAGGGCAGCAGAATGAATGGCCTTCCGTCTTTCCCCTGGACTTGCTCACCATTCCTGTGTGCCCACATTTGCCTATTCTCGATAGAAGGTTTCACCACAACCAGCTGAGAGTAGGTTGTGGAAAGCTTGGTTCTTCACCCCTACGCGCTGGTGTGCATCTCCCAAAAGACAGCCATTCTACTTCGTAGCCCCGACCCCCCTGCCGCAGCCAGGAACACTGAGACCATACTATGTATGATACGGGCCCTACTCAGATTTCCCCTCTTGTCTTTAAAACATCCTGGAGACCTACCTAATTTTCTATTTAAAAAAAAAAACCTCCACTTCTTTGCTTAGATCACCTCGGAATAAAATGAGATTCCTTTCAGAGTTTTATGGAGTTGAGCAAAATGCTTTTAATGAACCCACGAGTGATGAGAACCAAATGTCTGACTTGAAAGAGATCTTTCTATGACATGCATGTTTTTCGATTAAACTCTTAGTAATGCTAAATAAATGAGTATAATGTCCTGGAGAGCTAGGTGCCTGTGCGTCCCTTCCACCCAGCCCCACCCTCATTCAGAATCTGCTCAGAAATCAAGTGCCACAGTTCATTGTCACCTCCGAGTGCTTTCCACGTGATGGTTTCATCCTGCAGTGGGGTGGGGGAGTGGGAGGTTACCATGACAATGTCCATCTTGCAGATGAGGACACGGGCTCAGGGAGGTTAAGTCACTCACTGAAATAATCGAGCCAGAGAGTGGGGGAGTCCACTGGCCCTAACACCATTGGCCTTTCTGATCCCCCAGCCTGCTACTTGACCCTGTGGCCTGTTCTCATCGCAGCAGCTAAGGAAATCTTTTTGAAACACTGGCAGCCCTGCCATGTTCCCACTGAATCCTCACAGTGGCCTAGAAGGCCCTCCACTCCCCACCCCTCCCCAGGCCAGCTGCACTGCACTCTTCTCCTGACTGTGCCTCCAGCAGCCAGGCACGCTCCTGCCCCGGGGCTTTCGCACGTGCTGTGCCAGCTCCCAGAAAGGCTCTTCTTCCGCCCAGATGCCATCTGGGTCACTCTTTGCCCACTCTCAAGTTTTACCCAAATGTCAGTCACCAATCCCAGCAGCGTCTTCCCTGGCAACCCTATTTAAAATCATAGCCCTCCGAGCACCCCCACCCCACCCTGCCCTGTTTTCTCATCTCAGTGCCCCCTGGAACCTTTTGTCCCCCTGGGGGCAGGGCTGGTCTGTTTTGCCCCGACCACCGGGTCGCTGGGTCCCTAGCTCCTAGCACCTTGGCAGGTCAGGTTGGTAGCAGACACTCCATAACAGGTTGCTCTCCCCACAGCATGTCTTCTGCGAGGAGTGCCTGTGCCTCTGGCTGGACCGCGAGCGTACCTGCCCGCTCTGCCGCTCCGTGGCCGTGGACACGCTGCGCTGCTGGAAGGATGGGGCCACGTCTGCACACTTCCAGGTGTACTAGGGCCGGAGACCGAGGCCGTGAAGCTCCCAGCCACTGAGGGCGCTCTCAGCACTGCTCTCCACCCTCCTCTACCTCTTGAACCTAAGACCCTGCTCCCCCCTTCACCTGCCTTCTCTTCTGTGGGGCCTGTGAGCTCCGCATCCTAACTCTGACACGTGGTCTCCACCCAGGTGGAAACCCACCAGAAGTCAGCTGGAATTGAACTGGTAACACCTGAAAACCCACTTCTGGTTCATTTTACACCGGGGTGTTGGTGTTGGTTAGCGACCTAGTCCCTAACGCTGCAAACTGGGTAGCGGCCTGAAGATGCCTGTTTGCCTGAGGATGGCCAAGTCCAAGGATTCGCGTCACTGTGAAGCACGCTCAGAGGGCAGGGCCACACTCTGCCCCGACTGGCAGTGGTTCCTGGACGCACCACTTAGCGTGTGCCAAGTACAGGTCCCGCATCAGCATGTGTTTCCTTATGTCGTCTCTCAACAGTGCTGGGATGGAGGTTCTGCCAAGTCTCCATTTACAGACAAGGAAACCGAGGCACCGAGCTTAGTGCAACAACCTCTCCATGGCAGACTATATTCCCGACCCCAGAGCTGCCCTCTTCTCCACCTCACTGACCACCTGCTCAGGCATCGCATGTGCAGGGCTGCCCAGCAGAGAGGATGTTAACCAGTTACCAGGTGGTTTTGGTGCCCACCCTGGCCAAGGATCAATGACCTGGGTGCTGCAAATTGTGTAGGAACGGTGACAGTGAGCTAATAGTAATGGTGACCTCAATGCTGGTGTGACTGGGTCCACCAGAAGACTGGTCCCTTAAAATCAACACTTTTATGGGCTCTGGCAGGAGTGTGCAATCCCATGTTCGCATCAAGAAAGGCAAGCAAGCGTTGGCACAGATGTGGGTACCACCCAGTCCCCACTCCCATCCTTATTTTTCTTGCCCTCTATTCTTGTCCTCTTCCTCAGTGGACTGTCAGGCCTGGTGACTGTCTTCCCCACCCCAGTAGCCTTCAGGGCGAACAAGATTTTCCCACAGGCCGAGATGGTGGCAAAGAGCCCAGTAGCCATCCGTGTCTGAGTGAACTCAGACAGTGAACTCATCCGAGTCTGTCAGTGAACTCCTTCTTCTTCACCCATAGAGCCCTCCCTGCTTTGCAGTCTGGAATGCGAGGGGACAGGTTACCACAAAGAAGCCATTGGAATCCTGCCCGTCCTGCCCCTCTCCCAACACTCATCTTCTTATTGTCAGCCCCAGCTGCAGCTGTCCATGAGGCTGGGCAGCAGATTAACTTGGGAGCCCAAGAAGAAATGAGAGGAGGGCACCCAGCTCCTCGTGGTATCGAGCCCCACCCTGATCAATCTGGGACATCTGCCCCTGGGTGCCACCAAACCAGGACTTTGTCCTTTGCTTGTCAACCCTGGTCCCCAGCAAGACATCGCTTCCAGAGCAGGGTGAAGTCTTTCAAACTCTGTTACTATGGAAATGGCCATGATGCTACAATTCCACTTGCCCGGATAACCAGGTAGGAAGGGGAGCCACTGTTCTGTGCTTCCAGCTTTGAGGGAAGCCAGAGGAGCTGCTCCAACAGGTTTCCATCAGAAAGCTTTCCCTCCCTGCGGATGTCGCCAAGGACATTAGAGCACCCTGAATGGGAGGAGCAGGTGAAGCAGCATGCCAGGGGCAGACCTGGGACGCCATTCCAAAACGCCTGTGGCTTTGGGAAGTCACTTCATCTCCCTGCTACCAAGAGCTAGTGCATACAAGGGGCTGCTGGAACATAGATTCCTAGAGCCCACGCACTGGTCTCACTTTCTCCATGCAGCGTGTGGGGTATGTGGCCCTGGGGCTCGGAGGTGGGAGGGATGGTTGCGGTGCGGACTTCATCCACACTCAGTCCCAGCCCTCTGCGGGGAAGCCCCATCTGGAGGTTTCCTGGTAGGTGGGAAAATTTCTCTTCTGCCCAAGGAGGGGAACGCAGAGAGCTTTTAAATGTCGAAGAAGAAAACCGCTGCATGGCTCCCCCAGCCCTAGTTCAGCAGCAGCCCAAGTCCTCAAGGGGAAAGCAGGAGCCATGCTCCTCTCCTTCACCCAGCCTGGCTCTGCACCTCCTTTGTTCCACGGATTCATCGAGCCTCAAGTTCAAGTTCAGAATCTCCTACTCCTCGCGTTATAGGACTCACTGATGCAGGTCCACGATCGTTCGGATAATAACACGTGATGGAATAAAAAGGTGAGGTTTGGACCTGGGGGTTCAGACTCGGCTATCCCTGTCCAGAGTGGAGAGGAGGCGATACACAGAGGTGCAGGGCGGGGTCCATTCAGGCTGATTAGACTTGAGATTGGGGTGAGGGAACATGAAGTGATTCCCAGAACCTTCTAGTGCTTTTGCTCTGGGCCAAACAGAGCTTCCTATGGTAGGTAGTCTTTGTATTTGATTTTTATTTGCTTATGTAGATGTGTATGTATATGTATTTATTGTCGTTTGGGTAAAAGTTTTCAGAGCAAATTCATTTTCCATTCACCTGTGGTGGTTAGTGTTTATTTGTTTTTTTTAAACATTTTGTTGGGAGCTCTTACAGATAGTATCGCAATCCATAGTTCCATGAGATCAAGCACAATTGTGCAATTGCTGCCATCATCATTCAATGCATTTTCTTTTCTTCTTGAACTCCTTGATCTCAGCTCCATTTTATCCCCTCCCGCACCCACCCTACCACGCCCCCCCATCCCTCAATATATTTTATATATATATATATAATTATTTTTATTACTGGGGGGGGGGTTTGCCTTAAGTTCCACCATCCCATTTATCCAGTCACCTAAAATACCGGAAAAGACTATACATCCAGGGTACAGTAGAGCACTGATGAAACTTACAACTATCCTCTAGTTCTTTAAAATTTCCTCCATCTGTGGTGGGTTTTTCTTTAATAAATCCTTTTATTGTGGGCTTTTACAGCTCTTATAACAATCCATACATCAATCGTATCAAACACATTTGTACATATGTTGCCATCATTTTCAAAACACTTTCTTTCACCTGTGATGTTTTTAATGTCTCCTCTAAGTTCCCATCTACTGATAAAATATACCCTTCTCGGTAAGCCGGTAACCCGCTTGTCATATGGATTCTCCTTCCTCTTCTCCAGCTATGTGGAAATGTTTTAGGGAAATGAGAAACTGCGCCCTGTTGGGGGATGCTTATCCTTAAAGCAGGCCCCATCAGGGCCCCCATGGTTTATTAGGGGGTGTCCCCATCCCAGGAGAAAGCATCTGTAAAGTGAAGCAGGACAGAAAGTGCAGAAGCCAGTCACGGAGTGACTTCCAGGTACATCTCAGCCTCAGCCTGATCCCCTGGGGTGCTCTGAAGCAGAAAGTGCTCCCCAGAGTTTGCCTCCTGCCCCGGTGGCTGTGAGCTGATGCAGGACCTCACAAGCACTTCAGACTCTCCACTGGGGAGCCCCCAGAACCCAATGACCAGCGAACTCACAAAGTTGCGAGATGACAAGAACTGGTAAAGTGGATCGGAGAGGGCACCCAGGGTGCCCACTGCTTGGCCAACGGGAGGTTGGGTTGGGTGGACCCAGACTGTAAATACTGGATCAGAAGTGTTGCCAGAGTAGGGTGGACATGTGACTGTAAATGAACTCCAACAGGCGAGAACTCATGGCCCTCGGGGCATGATGATAAGGCCAGCCAGGGGAATATACCAGTCAGAACACTTTGGCTCCAAGAATCAGAAAATCAACTCAGACTGACTGAAATATAAGGAAAAATTTTATTTGGCATGTGCGATGGTATGGACTTCAGGCACAGCTGAATCCAGGCGCTCCAGGGATGCCACTAGAAGTATATCTCTCCACCTTGATGCCGTTTTCCTCTGAGGATTGTTCATAGGCAGTTGTGCCCCCTGAAAGAGAGTCTCTAGCAGTGTGATGCTCATATTCTGTCAGCTCAACCTCAGCAGAGAGCACCAGCTTTCCCAAAGCTCCCACTAGAGTCCTGAGCCCGACTCCTGGTAGCTTATCCCTAAACAGTTACTGCAGTGTGTGGGCTGTGGAGCTGTGGCCACACCTGGGTCAGGAGTCGAGTCTGGAGATGGGGAGAGAAATGGGTGGGAGGGATGGAATTAGCCCAGTATGTCACATGGACTGCGTGTGGGGAAAGGTCCCCAAAGGTGATGAGGGAGTCATCATTGAGACACAGAACCTGTCTTCTACCCACCATTTTTAAGAAGATACTAGAAGCTGGTCTATTGGTACATCTCAGACCAAGTAAGTACAGGTACAAAGTCCCTTGCCCAGAGCAGCCTGTCTGCCCATAGCTGGAGAATGAACTGCAGGCTCGTGCGCTCACCATTGTGATGTCACACATTAACCATGGTTTTGTGTCCCAGACTTGAATTGCTGGGCAGGTTCCCCAAACCCCGTTGTCCACCCCAAGGGTACTGTTTAGGGCAACTCTTCCTTCATGGGGTTTCTCGGAAATAGAAACAGGGAAGATGAGTGTGTGTGTGTGTGTGTGTGTGTGTGTGTGTGTGTGTGCACAAAACCAGTTATGCCCATAGGTTTCGGGGACCAACCATCCAAAAGGAAATGAAAACGCAGAGACTGTTAGGTAGAAGTACACAACCAGTTTTTTAATAAAGTCATTACAAATATGTACAAAGCATCTCCAAGGTATGAAATTCCTCTTACAAAAGAGAATGAACCAACGTCAGAAACCAGAACGGAATTTATCCAAGCTTATTGCCTCTCCGAGGTTCCAAACACCCCCACAGCCATCCTTACCCCACACACACAGGTTCCTAGATGCATATAGTGCAAAAGATCTTGGAGAGTAACTTGGGGGGGTCCCACAGCGGGAAGGCAAGGAGGACACTGAAGCTTCCTCTGCCCTGTCCCTGGAGATAGAGCGGACCACGGGCTGCCTGTGAAGTAGATGCTCCTTCCAGCAACCTCATGAAACCGGGACAGCAGGAGTAGGACATGAAAATATAAACCCCCAAGTTAAACCATCCACCCCAGCCCCGAGTATCCCCAAAGGTGACACTCTACAGTGCACCCCCTCAGGCTTCCCGCAAGGCTACATGCCTGCTTCCCTTTGAACCAGCAACCCCATGGAACACGGTAAAGCTATCCTGGGATCTTACACAGCCTAGCCCTCAGCTTGTAGCCTTGAGGATTACACAGACCTGCCTCCAGGTTCAAAGCAAACCAGCCACTTAGCCGTCGGTGTGGCCTTTGGCCAAGTGACTTAACCTCTCTCAGCCCCTGTCACCCAAGCTGTTCAATGGGAATCATATCCTCTAGTGATGGCGTGAGGAATGGCTGGTGGGAAGCACTCAGCGAATCATTATCAGGCTTTTCCTGCTGAGGACAAGTTGAGATCACGCAGTGCTTGCCAACTGACTAGCTGAGCACAAGGCTCAACAGAAACACGACAAACTCAAGAGACCATCCTGCCAGCAAGGCATGGGGCCACGGTGGGACCCCCAGGAGATATTGTTAAATAATGGTTGAGCCAGACTGGGAAGGGACAGCCAGCCCCGTCCGGTTCCAAGTAGGACTGCTCCTCCCCGGAAGTGAGCCGCCTCCAGGAGGGGTGGCCCTCAGTAAATGCTCAATCCATGTTGAACGAGGGAATGAAAGTTTTAAAATATAAGATGTCCATTTACGCTTTAACATAACTTGGACATCCGTTTCCTCCCTTTCGACAAGCCCAGGGTGTCTACTCTGCCCCTGCCCAGCCCCCAGCTCCTGACCCTCTGAGCAGCCCAGGCTGACTCAAGGGAACATCCCCAAAAGGGGACTGGTGTCAGCACAATGAACAAGAGCATGTGATGGTCACTGTCGCCGCTAATACCAGGTGGGCTCCAAAAGCCCACCGTGGTGAGCCAGTGACCCCCAAAGATACTTATTGAAATAGGATGGAGGGGTTCCTCATTTCCGAATGAGCAGCAGCCCTATTTTGCAGCTTTCTGCAGCATGGAAAGCATCGAATCAGCTATGTACATTGGTGAAACAAATCACAGAACTTTTGTTCCTGTTTTCATCAAACGAGAAGGGGGAAGAGGGTGACCACTGGACGAAGTGGAAAGGAAGACACCAGCACTCGCTTGAAACGGGGAAACGGGAATTGTGCCCTAGAAGACTCAGGACCATGGACAGCAGCCAGCGCCGCTGATGGGCTTCCCCAAAGGAACAGGTGGCCTACTCTCTGCTACTAGGGCCGGAGGTTTGGGTCCACCAGGAGCCACTTGGGGGTGTGTGTGTGAAAAGGTCTGCTCGCGTCCTTCCACGGAAAACCCCATGGAGCAGATTCTACTGTGACATGCACAGGGTCATCTCATCCATTCCACAGCAGCTGGCGAAAGAGACTTGTTCCTCAGACCACAACTGTGCCACAGGGAGAGTGGCATAGAACCCCGCATTTGAAAGGGGAGGTCTTTTTTGCTTTGGGTGGATGAGGTGAGGGAGAGAAGCGCCCCTGTAGAGAATGGGTCAATGCCCCAACCTCTGCCAGCAAGTAGCCCCATCAGCCAAGAGGGGGCCATCCAGTTTGTGTGCCCCCGCCTCGTTATGCGTGAGCTACCTAAATGATGATCTCAGAGGCCCGCTCTGCTGTGCGTGGACACACACACACACACACACACACACACACACACCACGCCGTCTGCTGAAACCCGATATGAGGTCTTGCTTAAAATTTATTTCAAAGCCTCCCTCCCTCCCTCTCGGCAGACACGCTACAGCAAAGCTAATCAAAATCAATGACTCCTTGGCAGCTGGAGAGAAGGGAGAGGGGAGGGACAGTGCCAGCACTCTGCACACGGTGGAAAGAGTAACAAGGGAAAGAAAAAGGCCACCCCACTATCATGCAATCCAAGTAAAGCACTAGGAGACCCAGCGAGACAGTATCTACAGACATACGTGTACATGTATGTGGGGGAGGGGGGTAGACATATTTGTGGATCATGCTTCAATTGCCTAATACAAATGTCCATCAAGAAGTCAAATCTCATATAAAAACAAGCATTAAAAACAACCCCTTGTCCAAAAAATCAGGGCAGTCACAAAGGGCCCTCCAGTGAATGATGTGCAAGGAAAGGCAAGGGTGAGAGAAATACACTGTTTCTGATAATCCACAAGAATTATGTACAAGGAACTTGGCGGGGAAGCTTCATCGGGAGGTCACGGATGCCCAGTTCTCAGCAATATGGCATCACTGAAATCAAAACCACCCCCCAAAAATGTCAGCCCCAACATTCAGATTTGGACCATCAGAGAGAAATGTGTTAGGAGAGCGGGCAAGGGTCCCCAAGTTTCTCTGACCCTTCACCCTGCCCCTATGGCTAGGTGGCCTGGCTTGTGCCCAGTGTGGTCTTGAAGACACAAGTTTCTGGAAGCAGAGAACCGGGATCAAAAACCACGGCAGTGATACCAAACCCCGCCAAGGAAAATGGGGTGAGCTAGAAAGAGCTGGTCTCCGG